GTATTTCTACCCTCCATGCAAGGGGGAGGTGGTTGATTTGTACTTTGTTTAGTTGTTTGAATCTGGATTTCTTTAGTGTTGAGTGTAGCTGAATTTTGGGTTTTTTTTTTTTTTGCCTGTGCATTTCTGTTGTTGTTGATGTTGTTGAGAGTAAAAGATTACAGTCGGCACATTTCTTTATAGGGGATTGTATTCGAATCCATGGCAGGGTGGACGGAGGTAGCTGACGGAGGCGATCTGGGTTGCGTGGAGCACAACGAGTCCTTGGCTGACATTGAACCGCTTTCAACAGGGTCTGGTCTGGAGGTTGAATTTGGCCAACTTCGGTGCACGTTTGATGAGATTCTGGGATCGTTTCTGGAGGAGGTCTGTGCCAGAGATTGCTTTTGGTCGTTTCCTCCAATGCTTGGAAATGGGCAGTCGGTGAATTTGTTTAAGTTGTTCTTGGCTGTCAGAGAAAGGGGTGGATACAATGTTGTTTCAGAAAATGGGTTGTGGGATTCGGTGGCTGAAGAGTGTGGGTTGGGTTTGATTGGAGCCTCATCAATTAAGTTGGTTTATGTCAAGTATCTGGAGGCATTTGAAAGATTGTTGGAAATATTAGTAGAAAGTAAGGGATTAAAGGGCAAACAAAGTGATACTGACCTAGAATTGAGCAGTGATTTGATGGGGTTGAGTAAAGACCTTGAAGGTTTCTTGTCCGAACTGGATAAGAAAAATGTTGGGAACCCTCAATTGGAAGCAAGTTTGCTTTCAAACTCAGATTCATCTAAGAAAAGTGTTAGTGGTGGTGAAGTTGTTTCAACTAAACGGGTTTTGGATTTTGGAGAAGTTGGGAAGTTGCAAAATGAGGATGATAAGGTGATGGTCGATGTGAAGAATGTTGTAGTAGAAGATTGTGGTGAAGGCAAGTCATGTGCTATTAGTGATAATGAGAAAAAACCCTGTTCTCATAAGAGAAAACGAGATTCTATGTTGGGGATGCTTAATTGGGTCACTAAGGTTGCAGAGAATCCATGTGATACAATTGTAGGCTCATTACCAGAGAGGTCAAAGTGGAATTCTCATGGTAGGGATGAGTTTTGGAAGCAAGTATTATTGTTTAGAGAAGCTACATTGACAACAAGACGCAGTGCTTCAAGTGCTCAGCAATCCCATTGGCAGGTATATGTCTGTTGAAAAGATTGTCTTCCATTACTAGCACCATCAGTTAAAAGATCATTGTTGATATCTTCTGTGACCTGTTATGATGAAGCTAGTTAAGCTTTATTTTCCCTGTTTAGAACTCTATTGTCTAGTATCTTAGCCAGTATTGGTTCTATTTGTCCCGTATTTGTTTTTCTCCGTTTACATTTGTACTAATCAGTTGATTTTCTACTTCATAGAAAACGCAGAAAATGCATCCTTGCATGTATGATGATCAAACTGGTTCTGCGTATGATCTCAGAGAGAGGTTAAGCAGCACCAAGAAGAAAACAGCATCTAAGACACATGCTTGTTCTAGCAAACAAACTGATTTGGAGGATGACAACCGAGTGGATGGAACTGGTGATCCCGCTTCTGCAGGTTCAGTCTTTGACTATGATATTGACTACCAAATTCCCATTGGGCCAGATTTCCAAGCTGAGCTACCAGAGTGGACTGGTTCAGACTATAAAAGTGAACCTAAGTGGTTGGGTAGTCGGATATGGCCACTGGCGATAAAGGATCCCAATGTTCTTATTGAAAGAGATCCTATTGGAAGGGGAAGACAAGAGTCATGTGGCTGCCAGTTTCCTGGGTCTATTCAGTGTGTCAAATTTCACATTGCTGAGAAAAGGTATAGAGTGAAACTTGAATTGGCTTCAGCTTTCCGCGACTGGAAATTTCATAGGATGGGTGAAGAAGTTGCATTTTCTTGGAACACTGGAGATCAGAAACTGTTTGACTTTATTTTGAAGAACAATTCTCTGTCCCTTGATCGGTGTTTCTGGGATCAAATATACAAGCGACTTCCTAACAAAAGCAGGGAAGATCTTGTTAGCTACTATTTCAATGTTTTCATGTTGCAGAAAAGAGCATACCAAAATAGGTATACTCCAAACAAGATTGACAGTGATGATGATGAATCAGGGCATCCCATTTTACTCACTCCAAAGAAAGTACGTAAAAAGTCCAAGTAGTTCATTGGGTAAATATGACGTACTTTTTCCTAAATATGTAAAGGACAGCACTTTGGATTTTTTTTTTTTTTTTTTCTGAGGGTTTTCTTGTTCTGTGATTCATGACAAATTGGAGTTCCTTTCTTGATTCAGTTTTGAGATCTGAAAACATAGCAATTAGAGGTAACCTTCTTTTTCTGGAGGGGTAATTCTGAAGAGAGAACTTTCAAAAGCTTTTTAGTTGCTAAGTTTAGCTGCTTCAGTGCACTATTGAAGCATTTTTGCCTTATGCTCTCAGTGCACTATTAAAGCATTTTTGCCTTATGCTCTCAGTTTTTGAGGTATACTTCATGTTCAATTTCCATAATTGCTAATGTCAAGTACAGGTACTCTGCTTTAGCCTCGTCCTTAATTAGAACTTTGATAGCAAATTTAATCTATGACTGACTTTTAGTTCCTAATGGTTATGATACAAAATTTCTTTTATACTTTATGTTGCTT